CAAAGCCCCAGTAGATAGTTGTATGTCATAGTTGCACATCCTTCTAGTTGCTGTATGTGGGATGCTGCCTCAGCATGGCCAGACAAGCGGTGCGTCAGTGTGCGCCCGGGATCTGAACCCGGGCTGCTAGTAGCAGAGCGCGCACTTAACCGCTAAGCCATGGGGCCAGCCCCTGGCATGTCATTCTAGAAACCAATATGTAAAATATCCTCCCAAAAGCTTACAGGATAACCACTAGGAGAGAAACAGTCACAAGCTTACAATGACTGTGCAGAGCAATGTACATATATATTCTATAGAAGGAAATGGTATGTAGCTTAACTTGAACGTCCACCATATTAAGGGGAAAATATAAAGATATAAAATGTATCTAGGTATAAAATACATAAAAAGTGTACCTAGGTTGTGATTCCCCATAGGAAAGATGGAAGAAAAGCTACATTAAGTATGGACACATAGAAAGATTAGAAGGAACTATATCAGAAAGTTAACAGAGCTTATCTATGGGTGGTAGATTAATCAGGGATTTCATTTTCTTTGTGCTTTATCTATAAAAAAATAAACATAGGTGTTTTTTGTAATCAGAAGACACACACACACACACAAACTCACAAAGAAAATTTCCCAATTAAAAAACTCAAAGGTCCCAAGATAGGTGTTCACAAAAAATATTTGCTAAATATATGAAAAGAAAACATATTTTAAAGTGTGAACTTCCTCCAGTATGAATTGTAATTTACAACGCCACCAGCAACACAGAAGAGCATCTGTGTCCTCAAATAATAAGATTGTGGGCCAGCCCCAGTGGCCTAGTGGTTAAGTTCCACACGCTCCACTTCGATGGCCTGGGTTTGCATCCTGGGTTCAGTTCCTGGGTGCGTACCTACACCACTCGTCTGTCAGTGGCCATGCTGTGGCAGCAGCTCACATACAAAAAGAGGAAGGTGGCAGCAGATGTTAGCTCAGGGTGAATCTTCCTCAGGAAAAAATAAATAAATAATAATGATTGTTTAGTTTTCTGATACTTGCTAGTTTTAATAGCACAGAATGTCCTATTTGTTCACTTATTCAGTAAAAAGCACCCCTGAACTGGAAAGGTTTTCCAGTTTGTTCTGTGGCGTAACTGCGCTGTCCTGTCCTTGCCTATGTCCAAGTTGCAGCTTTGAGTTTATCAGTGTGAGCTCTTTATACAGGATAAGTTGATCCTTCAATTGTCATGTTATTGCAAGTATTTCCCCTTTGAAATTGCTCTCTTGTTATTGGCTCTCATCTTACAGAACTGCTAGTTTTTCATGATTTTACAGAAGAATAAGAGGTTCGAAGTCAGAAGCTTTCCAAGACAATGCAATCTATGGATGGCTACAACCATCTCTACAGAGGGTGACTGTAAGCGAGGGCCGGAAAGTGGGTCCCAGCTTTGGCCCAGCAATCCTCCTCCTCAGACCATGGCCTATAAAGGAGGATTTAAAAATAAAAAATAAAAATAAGAGTCATAATCAATATATTCAACCAAAGATGTCATCCCAGCATTTCTAACAGTAATGGAAGTAATGAGACATGGGCGCTGGTGCTGTCCACCTGCTGTCCAGACAGCTGAGGCTTGCAGATGCCAATTACAAAGGACTCAACTCTGCTCAGCCTCAGAAGCCTCTAGTAAAAGGCAGCATGAATACGACGTCAAGGGAGGTGATTTACGTTAGGTCAGTATCATGATGCAGCAAATGCTATAAAAATACAGACAAGGACCTTCGGTAACCCCGTAAAAGAGCACACTAGAGCCTGCATAGCAGCACACTCAGGGGACGGCGGTGGGCAACTTTAGGTGATGGATGACTTTTTCCTCCTTCATACAAAATTCTTCAGTATTGTTCTTTTTTTTTTTTTTTTTAATTTTTATTTATTTATTTTTCCCCCAAAGCCCCAGTAGATAGTTCTATGTCATAGCTGTACATCCTTCTAGTTGCTGTATGTGGGACGCTGCCTCAGCATGGCCAGAGAAGCGGTGCGTCGGTGCGCGCCCAGGATCCGAACCCGGGCTGCCAGCAGCGGAGCGCGCGCACTTAACCACTAAGCCACAGGGCCGGCCCTTCAGTATTGTTCTTACACTGACTTTCCATTCCACCACTTTGGAGGTGTGGGGAGGAGGGGTCCCGCTTCAGCCCTGATGAGCCCACTTCTGTAAGGCTCCCTCTCCAGGAGTAAGTGTGGCCGCCCACCCATGGCAGGACCTACCCAGTGCCTGGTGCAGTCAGGGATCCGAGAGGAGGTAGAGAAGTGAAGAGATTCAGGGATGAGACCTGCCCACTCAGGTGGGGCACTGAAAACTGCATCAGGGGAAAAGGGACTTCCTCCTGACGTATAGGGGGAAAAGTACTTCCTCACTGGTCACATGGCCACTATGTCTGCTCATGACCACTGGGATGTCTGGGCTGAGAGAGCACCCATTCTGGGAGCTAAGGGGGAGGGAAAAGGGACACCAAACTTCCAGTTGCTTCTATTTCTATTACCTTCTTCTTGGCCTTTCCTCTCCCTTGTAAGGTGACTTGTTAACTACAGGTTACCAGCTGTGCCTAAGTGCTGTCAACCTTTAGCCAGTCTAGAAAAGTGAGCGGGTGGAATGGTGCGGGTGGAATGGTGCCTCCACCACCTGGACTCACCTTGCTGATCACTGTCCGTCTCTCAACACAGCTCAAACATGGCCTCCTTCGGCCTCCCTGACTCCCCAGACTGGGCTGGGGCCTCTCCTATGTTCCCCTAATCCCAGCACAGGAAGGCTGAGTTGTGTGATTTCTTTCCCTTAGGAGCCTGGGGACTCCTCAGAGACAGTGCCCAGTGTTTACTCTTCCTTCTAGTAATACTTGGGGTAGGGGCAGGGGGGCGCCTGTTGGAACAGGGCTTCTTAACCTTGGTTGTAGGACTGTACAAACCCCCAGAAAGTGTAGACAAAATTGCGTACAAACATACGTGCATTTTACCTGGCAAGGGCCACAGCTTTTCATCAGATTCCCAAAGGAGTCTGCGACCCAAAAATGTCTAAGAATTTCTGTGGTACACAGAAGATTTCTAATACATGTTTACAGAACGAATGCAGACATGTATACTGGCTGAGAGTTTTCTGCTAAAACTCTGATTTGTTTTCAGTTGGCTAAAGACCTTCTGTGTAAAAACCTCAAAGAGAATAAGAGACGTTAGAAGAAAACATGAAAAACCAACAAATCACAACAAATAGAAGCTTTCACTGCTTTCCTTACCATCACTCAGAGCACCTGCAGCCGTGGCCTCAATCTCGGGTTTGGTAGGAGGAACAGTTTTCTCCTCATCGTGAGTGGGCTCGGGTTCACCTTTCCTGACCTGGAGTGGACACCCGCTGCTGACCAGCCAGGCCTTCAGGTGATCGATGTACTCTCTCCCAAACAGAGTGGAGTCCTCGAAGTTTGGAAACGCGGCAGGAGATGGAGCTATATCTTGGAGGCCAACAGCTTCCAAGATTTTCTCTTGCCGGAAAGAAGAAGCCAAAGAAAATGTCTGTCCCAAAAGGGCCAAAGACTTCCGGCAGAGAGAATTGGTGGTCTCCAGAGCAATAGCCAAGTCCAGGGGGTTACTGAGGGTCTTCATCTTGACACTCAGCTCGTAGGCATTGCAGGCCATGAGCAGGGGCGTGACACTCTTCAGAAGCCGGTCTTGAAGTCTCATTATATACTTGTCAAAGGGCTTTATGATTTCAAAAAAGCAATTTTTGGTCTTCACAGCACCTCTGTCTAAAAGCATGTTTAAAAACTCATTATCGACTCTGGGTGTTTTCAAAGCGGAGTGCTTTAAAAATTTGATAGTAAAAAAGCAAAAATCTCTGTGCTCTGGTTTTAAGGAGCATTTGAATGAGGCAAGCATTTTAGCGCAGGTTTCAGTTTCAAGTTCAAAGAGAGTCTGGAAAAGCTGGGAAAATTTAACATCATCTTTTATGGTGTGGAATCCAGCCCATTTGATTATTTCTATCCCAAATCTTGAAAAAACATCTGACTTATCTATGAGATCAAAGCTCATCTTTCTTCTGGGGAGCCGAATATCCTTCAGATTGAGCCCCAGAGGGATCTTCTGAGCAGGGAATTGGAGATCTTCTGTCCCTGGGTTTGTCCCCAGGGTCACATCAGGACTTGGGGCGGTTTTCTGGATTTGGTTAGTGCCCTGAGTTTTGGGAGTAATACGATTTATAGTGGGTACTTTTTTCGTGCTCACACTTCTCAGCGTGACAAGTTTCCCGACCCCCCCTTTAGGTGTGAGCAGGCCCTGAGTCTCTCCCTTTCCTAGGAGGGCACCCTCCTGGTCAACAATGTGTAGACCTCGGCCTCTGCCCTGGACTTGGCCGCTGCCCCTGAGCACAGAGTCTGCTTCCCCTGGACGGTCCACGTCGAAATCCCGACTCTCTTTCTCTAAACACTCTTTCTCAATCAGCCTGGAGGAGCCAAAGTCCCCCAGTAGTGCAGAAGGACCAAAATTACACTCCTGTGACCAAGAGGATTCTTGAGAAACTGGGTGGCCAAAGTCTTGTTCCCAAGAGCCACGGAGTGCAAACTTCCAGTCCTGAGAACGGAAATGTCCCAATTTCCGGTGGCCAAAGACCTGGTCTCGGGAGTCAGGGTGGGAAAATTCCAGATCCCGGCCACATTCCTTACGAAAGTAGTTGTCGTCACTTACAGAAGGGTTGCTTGATCTGAAGGAAGGTCCTGGAAATACATCACTTCTCAGGCCTTCTCTCCCAGTGTCTCGAGAGTGAGCTACAGATCCGCCCAGAGTGTATCTGCTGTCACTGTGAATGTCATCATACATATCTGCTCGGGTTCTTGGGACTGTCCTTAGAAGATCTGAAATAAATGATCCAAAAAGAAACACAAAGGTACTTTAGACCTGAGGTTGCAAACGGACACTCCACAGACCACCAGCCAGCTGGAGTACTTTATCTGCCTCAGTGCATTTTACAAATTCGTATTTGTTGCCAACATTTAAAACGTGTGTGGTTTCCCTTAAAAATCTGGACTTAGTCCTTTTAAAAGCAGAGACCTACAAGTATTGGGCCTGTATCTGCCCTGAAATCAGTGCCCCGAGGCTGGGCAGCAGTGCCCCTCTCTCATTCAGACCCCTTGCCCTGGCTCTGCAGGCGTCTGGTTTACAAGGCCTCTTTCAGACTCAGGGAAGGGTGTTTACTGGACTTGTTTACTGCGACCAGAACACCTGTGTATTCTGACCTCTATCACACAACACATAGGTCTTCTGGAGGCTGCCCATCCTCCCTGCCTCCCAGGAGGAACTCTCCGCCTACGGTGCCACTGAGGCTGGAGCCACTCTGAACCGCACCCACCACAGCCAACCGGGCCATGGCTGAGCACCTGACCCAAAGCTGGCTGATACGCTCTCTCAGAAAGGTCCACTGGGTGCACCAATCCTCTGAATAAAGCAAAGACTGAAGCAGATAAGAGGAAAGGGGGAAGTGAAATAAGCCACATCAATAGACGCCACGATGGAAACTGAATAGTGTGTGCTTTTGTCCTCCTCCATGTAGAAACGAGGAAAATTGGAACCTAAATTTGCATTTGCTTGTTCATGTATAAAGAAACTCTCTAAGAAGCTAGGAACATAAGGGAACTATGGGCATATGGAAACAATGGGCCTCAGAATTTTCATGGAATACCTTCCTAACTTTCCAGCTTTTGAATCAGAATCTATTATCGAGTCAAAAAGTGAAATGGAAAGGGAGGGAGAGATGCCAGGAGTACAGTAGTAATGGGCCAAGAGGCCACGGGAAGTCAGAGCCTTGTATAAATTCTCAACAAGTACTTACTGAGCACCTACTCTAGGCACTGAAGTGACATCAGGAAAAGGAGACAGCAAAGCCCCTGCTCTCCAGGACTCGTCTTGAGGGAACCAAACAATAAACAAAAATCTATCAGCCGTAAGGATGTGCTCATAAGAAATATCAAGCAGGTGGGAATATGAAGAGGGAAAGCCATTTTTAGACAGGCTGGTCAAGGAGGGCAGCTCTGACAACAATGCATCTGAGCAGCAGAGGTCTGGCCCCTCGTTATGGGGGAAGCCTTCCAGGCAGAGGTAGTGTGAGGACAAAGCCCTGAGGTGTGACCAGTAGGGGACATATGTGGCCAGAAGGGAACAGAGGGAACAAGGGGCAAAGAGGTAAGAGGGCAGCTCCTAAACTCTACTGCACATTGGAGTCCCCAGGGACCCGCAGGCAGCCTGATTTAATTAATCAGGATGGGGTGTGACCTGGGCATCACGGTTCTTAAAAGGTCCCTACATGATTCTACCATGCACAAAGTTAGGGAACCACTATGATAGGAGATGCAAACAGAAGGGGGGTACCAGATCAAGTCAGGCCCTCAACGGAACACTGGAGTTTTCTCTAAGTGAGACGGAGAGCCACAGGAGGGTTCTGAGCAGATGGATGACCTCACTGGCTGCTGTGCAAGGAATAGACCAAAAGGAATTAGAGTGGATATGGACGTTTGGGCAAGGAATCCACTGGGATAAGCTAGGTATTGATGGCCTGGTGAGGGCGGTAGCATCAGAGGCAGAGTGGTGGTTGGATTCTGCACAACAGGATTTTCAGATGCCTTGGTTTACAAGGCATCAAGGCACTGGAAATGTTCAGAGAAGAGCAGAAACAGAGAAAGCCTGACCGATGGACCATGCAACTCTGAGACAGAGAGATGGTTCCATAACCGCCTAGCATCTTGCTAGGATTCTGGTTCTCCCCTCCTCAATTTTTCTTGAGGTAACTAAGATATGTATTGGTGTTTGAGTCTCTAGGTAAAGATAAACCAAGATCTAAATCTCCATATATACATATATATGTATACATGTAGTGATGTGTGTGTGTACACACACATATAAACACCTATGTATTCAGGATTGCGTAAATATATCACTAAAAGAATTGAAGGATGCACAAATCACCACAGATATGGTTGCCGCTGAGGGGTAAGGAAGCAGCTAAGAGGGTTTTTTATGTTTTACTCAACTACTTCTTAATTCTTCCTATCTTTTATAACAGGAAGGTCTTTATGTACTACTCATGTAATTTTTGAAAACTCAGAATCCAGAGACAGCCTCTGAGCCTCAGTTTCTACAGGTCCAAAGTGCATAATAACAGTTACCCCTATCCCAAGCACCCAGACTCACTCAACCAACACTGAGGGAGCCTCCCCGATCCCGAGGCTGGCTGAGGGGCTGGTGCAGCAGGGAGCAAAGCAGCAACAGGCTGAAGGAGGCCTGGATGAGGCAGACCCACAGCAGATTCCCTGGAAGGCACCTGTGAGCTGGGTCTTAATGCCTGAGGGAATTACCTAGGCAAAAGTGGGATGGGGAGGGATTCAAAGCACAGACAGGCAGCACAGTATCACCGAAACACAAAGCCCAAAGCAGGGAGTGTGGGTCAGAAGCCTCCTGTGTGGTGGCGAGGGACTTCCATGTCATCCTGCAATCTGTGCAGGCACTATTTTTGATTCTGCTGGCATGAGGTTTCAAAACTTTCCAAAGGGAATGTTTCCAGGCAGGGCCTACACAGGCAGCTCCACAGGCCCCCCGACGCCCTCCTGTCTTGCACATACCACTGTTACCTGGCTGCTCCTGCACTTGTCTGAGGCTGTAACCCTGAAACGAGGAGCCCCAAGAGTCCAAGCAGGACCTTGGCCCAGCAGATTTGCGGGGAATGAAGCCAGAACTGTTCAGGAGGAGATTGTTACAATAACGCAGGCGAGAACTGATAACAGCTGAGATGCAGCCAGGCGATGGAGTTAAGAATCCATCCTTCTTTAGGTCGGAGAGGGTGCCTGGGGAGAAGTTCCAGATAATGACAATACCTCCTTCTGCACAGTGATTTGACAGGTGGACCCAGAGAAAACTTTATCTCCCTTTAACAAATAAAAGGAGTCGCAAGGTTGTTGCATAGTTTGCCCAAGGCACTGAAATCCTCCGCTCCCAAAAAAACAAGCACTTGAACTTACCTTGAGCTTTAAACTGAAGAGCTTCACCTACAGCCTCACTACTGGGGTCCATGTGATATCGGTTAGCTTTCTCTTGTAATACAGCATCAAAAGTCTCCTGCACAATTCGCCTTGCTGCCATATTTCCCTAACCTGTAGTGAGGGGGGAAAAAAGACACTAAGAATGACAACTAACGCTCACAGAGCCTGCTCTCTCTCTTTCACCTAATCCTCAAAGGAACAAGGCAGTAATCCATAACCCCACACGGTACTTCAGAGGGAGATCGGATTATTTTAAGGGGGCCTCTGCCCTCATCAAGCTCACAGGTGTGTGTTGGCTTAGGAGCAAGACGAGCATGGCGATCTTGGATAAGTTATTTTGCTTCTCTGAGTCCATTTCCTCAGAATCCCTTAAAAGTTCTATAAAAGCAGTCCTATCTCCTTGGGATTGCATGAAGCAACACACGAAACTGGACATAACACTGCAGGGAAGTGGGACCACAACCCTCACAAATGGTGGTTAGGAAAGACACGATCATTATTTTCCCTTCTCACAGACAGTGCGAGGAAGCTGGGAACTGACTTCCCCTCTGAGAGAAGCCCCTCAACGAGTGAAGGAATCCCTGACTAGTGACAGTGAGCTAGTGACAGAGCTTGCTCTGTGCCAGGTCCTGTTGTAGGGAAGGGACTCCCACCATCTCGTTTACTTCTTGCAACAACCCAGTGAAGAAGTGGGTCCTGTTGTGAATGACATTATACAGAAGAGGAAAAGGGGGACTCAGGCCATGTGACCCACCCAAGGTCAGCCAGCTCGGACTGGAACCTGGCAAACAGGGCACTGGGAATGGGGACAAAGCCCTGAAGACCGAGCAAAAAAGATTGCGAAGCAACACTGAGGAAGCCAGCGGCGGTGTCCTTAACCACCAAGATATCCTTTCATCCTGAAACCTCCGACCTCAAGACCTAAGCCTGCCCCCGCCATATAGTCTTTCTTATACCCATCACCCCCTTTTCCCACCCTTCAGCCCTTTCCCTGAGGCGCCTCTTGTTCTCTGTAGCAAAGGGCAGGGTCTCCGGGCCAGGAGGCCACGGATCAAATCAAGTGACCTACCCTTGCTGCGCCTCCGTTTCCCCATCTATGGACTGGGCACCTATGGGGAACGAACCAGTTAAAAAACGGCAAAGGGACCGATGCAGCGCCCGGCCGCCGTTATCGGCACACGAGCGAGGCCGCTCCGGGCTCCGGCGGGGAAATGAATGAACGAGTGAACGAATGCACCCCTCGGGCGTGGCCCGCCTCCTACCAGCCTCCGAGGACGAAGAAAAGGGGGCGTCGGGCCCGGGAGGCCGCAGACCGCCCCCCAAGCCGACCCAGCCGGGACGTGGCCGCCGCACAGCCCGAGGGCCGAGCCCGCGGCGCCACTGCACGGACTCCGGGCCCTTGGGGGTCGAGCCCCTCCCCCCCGCGGCCCGCCCACGGACGACGCCCGGGCCCGAGCCTCACCCCGAGCCCACCGCGCGCGGAGACACCCCCACCGTCGTCTCAGGCTCTTCACCCGCCGCCGCGCGAGGCGGGGACATGCAAATGAGCCAACGGTCTCCGCAGCGCCGCGCCGCGCAGGCGCAAGCTGCCGCCGAGCCCTTGTGCGCAGGCGCAGGCGGCCGCCGCCGAGCCCTCTTGCGCAGGCGCGCTGCCCGCTTCTTCAGGGACTAAGCTCCCGAGATGAAAAGTTTCCCTGCCCGGGGCGGCGCTAACCGTGAGCGGCCCGGAACAGGTGGCAGAGACGCCGCCGCTGCGCAGCCGTTGGTCCTCTTGGCTTTACCTGCGCTCACGGTCACTTTTGGTCACCTCGGGAGCGGTTCGCCCGGCTGAGGGAGGCCGAGGCGAGGCGGCGCCAGCGCGCCTGCGGGTACGGCGGCCGGAAGGGATCAGAGGCGGCGCCGCCGGTGACAGCCACGAGCCACACCCTTTCCCCACGTGGCCGCGGAGACCGGGTGAGAAGTGGCGGCCGCCGGGCCCCCTCGCGCGCGGGGCGGGGAGTGGGCGCCGCTGGGGCGGGCTGGTGACCGGCGCCGCCCTCGGGCACTTCGTTTTAGGGAAGGAAAGACTCTTACAGAAGCCGCTGAGGGACAAAATCGCCCACTTCCTGGCCTCCGCTTTCTTTTCATTCATTTATTCATTCATTCACAGCCCCTGTACTGAGTGCCTTTTGCCTCTCCGGCCCCATCCTAGGCAATAGGGGAAGGTGGTGAACAAAACAGACTGGGCTCCAGATCTCATGGAGGTTACATTTCATTGAGGAGGAGACTAGGCGGTACCAGCAAATAGATAAATGAACGATGTCGCTCCAGATAGAGATAATTTGTAAATAATAAAAGAGAGTGATGTGATAGGAGAGGGGGGGCTGCTTTAACCAGAGTGGTTATAAAGGATGTCCCTTGGATAGCTGGGAAGGATGAGAAAGAGGTGGAGAAGCACAGGCGAGAAGGTCTAGGTAGGGAAAGTTCTGATAAGGAGACTGGGTTTTGTCCTTGAGAGGGTTGGAAAGCCACTACGGGATTTTGGGCAGGTGGGTGAATTGGTCTCTGTGCTTTCAAATCTCCCTTGGGCTGCTGTGTGGAGAATAGACGTGCAGGGTGTGGCAGGGAGGGAGCAGGTGAGGCCACCCATCTGGGAGGATAGGATAGTGCCTGAACCAGGGTGGGTGTGCCAGATGGAGGAAGATGAGGAGTCATTCAGAGTCCATGGCATGTCAGGGCACCGTTTTCTTGATGAGCAGAACCCTGGCTTAGAGAGAGAAATTGGTTGTCAGTTGGGGGCCTTGCTAACTCCCTTCCCCCCAGCCCACGTTGGATGTATCGGGACTGGAGTGCTGTTTCTCCCATCTCCTGGCCTGGGCTCTTCCCCAGGTGGCTCCTAGATGACTGTTCCCAGGCACTATCTTTCTCATGAGTTCTAGGTCTGTACTTTCACCCCCACCACCCTCAGCCCTGTGCCAGACCTAGGGGACCCTGGAGACATGCCTTAGGGGTGGTCCCAGAGCCGGCCACTGACCTCTCCAGCTCAGAGAGCTCAGGGCTAGGCAAAGGGAGGTTCATGGGGGTAGGAGAGCCAAGGCCAGAGAGCAAGGCTCTGTCTCAGTGGCCAAGGAAGTCTCCCAGGAGGAGGCAGCCTGGAAGGGCTAGCGGAAGCCCCACAGAGGATCCAGGTGGAGGGAAGGTGTTAATGAGGCAGGATAGTGTGATGGCCAGACCTCTTACTGCCTGTGTGACTTCCAGCAGGTTCTTCCCCTCTTTGACCTTCAGTTTCTTTATCTGTGAAGTAGGTGGAATGACATTATTCCCCTTTAAGACCGTGCCTCTGACAGAGTGGCCATTCACCCTTGGCCCACTCGGGTCTGAAGCATGGCTAGAGAGGTGGAAGCAATGTCTGGTGGCAGAGCAAGGAGCAGAGTCCCTCCAGCAGCCCCCAGCTGAGAAGTTCCTGCCTTTTAGAGCTGGCCAGGAACACCCCTCACACACACACCAGCCTGGGTGCGCCACTGAGAAACCGTTTATCTTTGTAAACAGAAAATCCTTGCTCTTTTCCTCCACCTTTGACCTTGGAAATCCTTAGCAACCCCTAAACGGGCTCCTTGTCCTTCTGGGGCAGAAAGGAGGGAGGGATTATCTACAAGGGAGTGGGGTGGGGTGTATTATGCCCTAATGCCCGCCCCCCCCCAATAAACTGGCCGAATTCCCTCTTAAACAACAAAGGAAAGGAACTTTTACTCTGTGCCAAATCCTTTTAAGGAATTAACGGGTCCAATTTTCACTACAGCCCTATGAGGTAGATTCTGTATTGATCCCCGTGTCACACATGAGGGAATTGACCAACAGTGAGGTTAAGTGGAGGGCTTGGAACTTGAGTCCCCCTGCTGGCCCCAGAGCCTGTCTCCACACATGCCCCGCCCCCCCCCCCCGAGTGCCTGCACAAACAGGGATGGAATATTTACATCCTGTGCCACCTCTGCAAAGAGAAGGGTGCACTAGAGTGGCCTGTTTCCCACACTGCCCAAATTTGCACTTGGATTTTTGCCACATTCCCCTACCACTGTCCTAGTATCCCTTTGTCCTCCGAACACACTTTCTGTGATGCATGATTCTAGAATGGACCCGAGACCGTAAAAAACCAAAATTTTTTAAAAGACGATATTAGGACTATTGAGAAAGTCAATCAGGGACTGTATATTAGAAAATAGTATTGTATCAGTGTTCGATTCTCTGTGTTAAATTTCAGTTGTGTTGTGAATATGTGAGACAGTGTCCGTTTCTTGGGAGATTCATGCTGAAGTCTTTAGGAGGGAAGGGGTGTGATGCCTGGAACATACTCTCAAATGGCTTAGGTTTCACACACTCGCAGGCACACACACACTCACATAGAGAGATTAACTGGCAAAATGTTAAAAATTGATGAAGCTAGGAGACGGACATACAGTGTTCTTGTACTCTTCTTGCAACTTATAGTAAAGTTTAAAAAGTGATGTATTTTAAATGAAAACTTGATACAATTCCAAAATAGAAGTGTAGTGTTATTGCAATAAAAAAGGTAGATATAGTAATACAAGTAAAATGAAAAAAATTGTTAACCTCTGTTAGGCTCTGGGCCTGAGACCTATTCCCTGCTTTGTTAAAAAGAGAGAGTGGCACGTATTAGGTATTAATGAACCACTTGCACCCCGGAGACCTTCTTGTTGAGATCACTGACTGTTTTTGCTGAGAGTTTTGTCTTATTTAGCTCTGTGATCTGCCCCAGCCCTCCGGAGGAGAAGGCACTGCCCCAGGTCAGCGGGTCATCTAACTGCTGATTCTGTCCCTTGGCTTCCAGCCTGTGCCTGTGCTGGGTGTCATTTGTTTTTTGTTTTTAAACACAAGAGTACTTGTTTTTATTGAGCTATAATTTACATACTATAATATTCACCCATTTAAAGTGTACAATTTTGGGGCCAGCCTGGTGGCGCAAGCGGTTAAGTGCGTGCGCTCAGCTGCAGCGGCCCAGGGTTCGCCAGTTCGGATCCCAGGCGTGCACCGATGCACCGCTTGCCAAGCCGTGCTGTGGTAGCGTCCCATATAAAGTGGAGGAAGATGGGCACGGATGTTAGCCCAGGGCCAGTCTTCCTCAGCAAAAAAA